TCTGCTATATATTTACAAAACGTACGATATTCGTTAGATATATAGAAAATATAGGACAAATATTTTGTGCTATTAGGGAATAGTCGGAAATGAAATCACGAAAAAATTACAAGAAAATCCAAGCCCACTTTTGAGGTTGTTTTTAGGAATGAAAATTTTCTCACAAATACGTTTGAATTTATTTCTTCAGGTTTACATATGATAGAAGAATGAGTGGGAGTCGTACAATGTAAACGCCGAATGCACTGTGAGGTAAGATGTGAAAGTGACACATGTGTATGTTAGAAGTTTCTAATGTTAAGTAACGAACTGGTGTGCACTTTTTCGCTACGAAGGAGGAAATGGGATTTTTTGTCAGTAATTAAATGAATGAAGATACATTAATTAAAGCCTTGTTGATAAAATAAAAACTGATTGCAGTATTTATGAAATATAAAGACACATAACATGAACGCTTTAATGGTAAGACGCTGTTATTTGGGCATTTGTAGTGTAATGGATGTGTGCAATGGAACCACGAATTTAACATGCGATATTTACGACACATGCGCCGTTTTCCTTATTGTTGGTATGCCCATCTTTGCCGATTGTTGTTTCTGGACTATATTGTTACCTGCCGTTCCACTGTCTCCCCCGAGAAGTCCTCCTAATCCTGCGGATGCATGAGCTCCGAAAGGAGTTCCTGCACTGGCATGCAATCCACCCCCTGCACGAGAGTCTCCCAAAAGACCGCCCAATCCTGCTTCCGCGTGATATCCTCCAAAGTTCACCCTGATACCGCCATTTGTAAATTGAAGGAACGGCAGCGGCTAAAAAAGAATCTTTTATTAATTGTTAATCGAATTGAGGGTAATCTTTTTACCCTGTTTTTGAAATTATAAAGTCAAAATACTGTTAAGAATTTACTCCTCTATGGAATACCGCCATTTGTAAATTGTAGGAACGGCAGCGGCTAAAAAAGAATCTTTTATTAATTGTCAATCGAATTGAGGGTAATCTTTATATCCTGTATTTGCAATTATAAAGTCAAAATACTGTTAGGAATTTACTCCTCTATGGAATACCGACATTTGTAAATTGTAGGAACGGCAGCGGCTAAAAAAGAATCTTTTATTAATTGTCAATCGAATTGAGGTTAATCTTTTTACCCTGTATATGCAATGGTATGTAATTATAAAGTCAAAATACTTCTCTACGGAGTAATACATTCAACTAGAAAATAAAAACGTGTTGATTGTATATTCTTGTCGATAAGTATATTTAAACGTGATTAAGGTGATATGAGAATGCCCTCTGAGGGGACAATTGTTTGTGATACTTTTCTTCGAACTAGGTGCATCGATTCGTTTCAAATGTCACAATGTGCATTTGAGGGCTATAAGGAAGGTCCTGGCACGGACGAAATGTCATTGTTTATATAAATTTTTAAAAATACCTATTAACAAATTAAAAAAAAATTGGAATTTCAAGAGTTTCAGGACCTTCGTTATACCCTCCATTTTTGTATTGTAAAGTTTGAATCGATTCAATGCACACAGTTCTGAGAGTAGTTTCACGAACGCATCTTTGACACCACTTTCGTATCACCTTAAGGCGCTGGTTGAATGTTTCAGAAAATTAAATTTGAATTTGTCATTTCAATCCTATACGATAGATTAGAAAGTATGCACTTCAAGATTAGGTGATTTTTTTAAATATATAATTTCAGCATTCCATCAGCAGTTGCTTTCTAAGTAATTGCCAAGTGGTTTTTTGTCAAGGCATATCTCATTTCCCTTTCTCCAAAACAAACGAAATTTCTCTTTTTCTGGTAAAATTATGTGAAATGCTGTTTTGCGTGTGGGAATTATTTCTAAGTGCATTGCATTGTGACTTTGCATTATGGTATGCACTGTAGGTAACCGTTGCTTTACGTCTTAACTTGAAATCATAAAGCGGGAGACCGCAGTGGTGCACAAAAACTGGTCAGGCAGGAGAATATCGCAAGTTATTAGATTTCAAGAGTAAGAAAACAACGTGAAGTTGAAATAACAACGGGAGGTGAAAAATGACAGGAGAATATCGCAAGTTATTAGATTTAAAGAGTAAGAAAACAACGTGAAGTCGAAATAACAACGGGAGATGAAAAATGACAGGAAAATATCACAAGTTATTAGATTTCAACAGTAAAAAAACAACGTGAAGACGAAATAACAACGGGAGGTGAAAAATGACTGGAGAATATCGCAAGTTATTAGATTTAAAGAGTAAAAAAACAACGTGAAGTCGAAATAACAACGGGAGGTGAAAAATGACAGGAGAATATCGCAAGTTATTAATTTTGAAAAGTAAAAAACCAATGTGACGTTGAAATAACAACGGGAGATGAAAAATGACAGGAAAATATCACAAGTTATTAGATTTCAAGAGTAAAAGCAACATATTTTAATTAGGCTTTCTAACTCTTCTTGAATAAGATCAGTGTTTCGCAGACAACCGTTTCATGTGCCTCCTAGTTCAAATCTCCTTACAAGAAATTACATAAAAAGGAAATACATACTTATTGTTTTACTTTTAGGAATCCATTTCTAAATACCTGGAACTCAACAGGATTGCATACATTTTATTTCCAATAATTTTTATGACACACCATTCAATAAAAATGTGGTTCAAAGACGTATCAAATTATTTACATAATCTTAAGAGACAATTTTATAATATTATATATAATTAATTTAAAGTGGTAAGAGTTCTTTTAATTATCAAAGCTTTAACGAATGGTAGTTTAGTCCTTTTCACTGTTGAAGTGAGCTCTATTTTTGAAAAATTCTTAAAATAATGGCAATAATACTAATTTTCTTAGAAAATAATTAAGGTATTGAATCGAAAAGATGGCGTAGGGAATTTATTAAATTGGTGACCGATGGTTTTGCTGTCACGTCATCTTTTTGATGAAACGGGATGGTTTGAAGTTAAGACTAGTGCGTATGAGTTAGGTTGTTCCAAGGTAATCCGGAAATAAGAGCAAAATAAAGTATCAAGAAACCAGTTCTCGTCCAATTTTCATGGTCGCGGCATGGAACTTTTGTCCGCATTTCTTGGTTATGAGAAGTTTAAAAATCTCTTTCCTTTTCACTACATCTTGTTTTCAGCGAGACATGAGTAATGTACACTACCAATATGTAAGACCTGTGTAACTAGGAATCGTGATTGGAAAACCTGTCTCTTAGTAGATAACGAGATTGATACAGAAGTATTTCTTTTAACTGAAAACTATGGTCATGTACTATAAATTTATATAATCAGAATTTTTGACAATTTAAGAACTGCAAATTGTTCACAAAATAGTACCATATTAATTAATATATCCTTATCATTGTATGGAATTTTTCAAAACGTCGCGAATTATATGAAAAAATTAAGGAGAGTATGTCATTATTTGGGAGAAAATATTAATGACAGTGGTATTGTTATTTATTATTTAAAAGCGAAGCTTTAAATTACGTACTGTTTCATTTGAACAAAGTCAATTTATTATTGCGAGAGAATGATATAGGTACATAGCTTTAATTTGAATAGCGGCTTTATGCCGTTATTTGATTCCGTTATTCGTAAATCGGTAAAATCGCGACAGGCTCTACGATTTAATCCACGTTATTGATTTTTGAAATAAATGATCACATTGTTTAATAATTTATCTTTGCTTGATAATGCATTTCATAAAGGAAATGATTTGTTACAAAAATATGTAACCTGGCGATTAAAATACAACGGTCAAGTAAAATAAAATAGCATCAAACAATTTGTCACCTCATTAATAGTTATATAACATTGGCATTAGAGTTTTGATTAGTCAAACAATAATGAAGAAATATTTTATGCAGGTTTTCCACATTAATAAGAAATTAATAGTTCTAAACGTAATGTAACGTAATAACAATTAAATTATTTTTAGCCTCACCTTCCTTCAAAGGACAAAATTTGTAAAAACTTACGACATGACCGCTTGTCGTCATTTAACGGTTTACGTGTTTTAAACATCCTTTAAATTAACTTTCATCCCAATCATATCCTCCTGAATCATTAACAAAGAAAAGCAGAGGGTAAAGTGTGATTTCCCACGTATCATGAAAAATGATATAGTGATACCTTCCAGAATAAATCACGCGAAACAATATTTGGTGCACTTTCCAAAACGTCACTGTTTCTTTTAGATATAATGTCCGTAAGTTCGCAATCACCCTAATTGTCAAGACCGACCATTTCCGGGAAACCATAAGTAACAAACTCAAATTGCATCAAATAGCAACATCGGTGTCGACGATCTGAGAAAACCTTTCTAATTATCTATTCCATTTACGCAATGCTTTTTAATGCTTTTTTTTATCCGTGGCAAATGATCCATTGAAGGTTTCTTCAACTTACACAAATTGCATGAAATAGCAACATCGGTGTCGACGATCAGAGAAAACTTTTCTAATTATCAATTTTATTGATGCAATGATTTTTAATGCTTTTTTTTTTATCCGTGGCAAGTGATCCATTCAAGGTTTCTTCAACTTACACCCTCGGCCTGGACCTCCTTCTTCATCTTGTACTCTTGCGGGATCGCCCCAGAAGTGGCTACCAACGCGAAAAACACCACGACCTCCAACATGCTCTTCGAAATGTTCACATCAACTGGCAGCAGGTCGCCCTTAAAAGCCTCGAGCTCTGCGAATCATTTCTTCAAAGAGTCTACGAGTTGCCGGTGCCAAGCGGAGAAGGGGAATCGACATCTCAGGTGAATGGACCAATAAGAAACACGGGTTGGAACTCACACACGCAAACGCCTATGCTCGCTACACTCGCTTCCCCAGGAAAAGTACCAACATGACTCGCACCTCGATGCGACGTTTCTCGTAACGAGTCACGAGCTACGAACAATGTGTGCACGATCACACGGTACGATGTTGGTTGAATATGGGGATAGAATACTCGGCCCTGAACCTTCCTTGAGCGCATTTCTGAGAAATGTTTAGGATTTAATGATCTGCATCTTCTTTGAGCGCATTTCTGCGAAATGTTTAGGATTAAATGATCTGCATCTTCTTTGAGCGTATTTTTGTGATTTGTATGAAATGTTTAGGATTAAATGATCTGCACCTTCCTTGAGCGCATTTTTGCGATTTGTGCGAAATGTTTAGGATTAAATGATCTGCACCTTCCTTGAGCGCATTTTTGCGATTTGTGCGAAATGTTTAGGATTAAATGATCTGCATTTTCTTTGAGCGCATTTTTGTGATTTGTACGAAATGTTTAGGATTAAATGATCTGCACCTTCTTTGCGCGCATTAGTGCGAAATGTTTAGGATTGAATGTCTGCACCTTTCCTGAGTGCATTTGTGCGAAATGTTTAGGGTTGAACGATCTGCACTTCTTTGAGCGCATTTCTGCGAACTGTTTAGGATTGAATGATCTACCCCTTCTTTGAGCGCATTTCTGCGAAATGTTTTAGGATTGAATAATCTGCACCTTTATTGAGCGCATTTGTGCAAAATGTTTAAGATTGAATGATCTGCACCTTTCCTGAGTGCATTTGTGCGAAATGTTTAGGATTGAATGACCTGCACCTTCTTTGAGCGCATTTGTGCAGAATGTTTAGGATTGAATGATCTGCACCTTTTCTGAGTGCATTTGTGTGAAAAGTTTAGGATGGAATGATCTGTCCCTCCTTTGCGCGTATTTGTGTGAAACGTTTAGGATTGAATGATCTGCACCTTCTTTGAGCGCATTTCTACAAAATGTTTAGGATTGAATGATCTGCACCTTCTTTGAGCGCATTTTTGCGATTAGTGCGAAATGTTTAGGATTAAATGATCTGCACCTTCTTTGAGCGCATTTGTGTGAAACGTTTTGGATTGAATGATCTGCACCTTCTTTGAGCGCATTTCTACGAAATGTTTAGGATTGAATGATTCGCACTTTCTTTGAGCGCATTTGTGTGAACCGTTTAGGATTGAATGATCTGCAACTCCTTTGAGCGCATTTCTGCGAAATGTTTAGGATTGAATGATCTGCACCTTCTTTGAGCGCATTTGTGCAAAATGTTTAGGATTGAATGATCTTCACCTTCTTTGAGCGCATTTGTGCGAAGTGTTTAGGATTAAATAATCTGCAATCTGTCTGATAAAATTGCACCAGTGGAAGTGATTTGTATGTCTGCCGATCTGAAATGTTTGAAAATATTTACAGTTATCTTGTTTTCGACCGTTTAGAGCGGCCAATGGAGAATTATCCCATAAATCTGGAGATTTAAACGTCTGGGGCAAAAGGAGGATATCGCTTTGCAAATTATGAATCTAACATAAAAGGGATGTTTAAAGGTAGAGGATATTTATTTATGTTTTGACAGATATTTATTTGTCTCGGTCTTCATTGTACGGCGAATGCGAAAGAACTACTTGACTTGCGTATTGACGCAAGGTCACAAGTCAAGAAACCACGCCGGTTTGATGTGCGCATATGGTATAAGTGGAATAAGAACAATGGAAATTAATCACTTTTTCTGTTTTTAGTCTGAAGGGTAGGAAAGGTTACTCTGCTTCTCCGGAGATCGTTGCGATCCCAAGTTTCTCATCAGAATTTCCTCTTCCCTGCCCAGGATATTTTATCGCTTTCTCGTTGCATTTGTGTAAAACACAACTATTTCTCATCTTCTTTCTCATCTTATCCTCTTTTCCGTTCAATAAATTTCCTCCCCTCCTTGTTACGCTTACGACAAAATTAATTCTATTAATTTCTCGCAGGACGACGAATAATTCAAGATTGAACGTATGAAACGTCGCAAACAATATTGTTTACTACCCTAGCAGCACAAAATATTTGTCGTATATTTTCTATATATTTCTANACAAAATGTAGGATATTCGTTAAATATATAGAAAATATAGGAGAAATATTTTGTGCTACTAGGGTTCATACATTCTACAGTTGCATTCTTTTAAGTCAGAACATTTACCAACAACGTCGACAAAATTTAATTTCACATAATTTTCAACGCTATTCATCGCGATAATAATCGCGAACTGGTACTTAGTGACTTATATTCGATAACAATAAATGTAATTATTTTTTTTCACTTTACTAGAAAGTAAATTTACCCTTTGTAACTAATATGTGGAATCTCTAGTGTCTACACCTGTTCTTATTGAATATATTTATTAATATAACTGCGAATTGTTAAATGTTTACCTGTCATTGCGTCTGTGTTGACTTCTCCTTGGATTCCAGCCGAAGCCACAACAGGTGCAGCAGAAATGATTTCCTTCTCTACGACGATTTTCGAAACTGGAACATGGACTTTGTGAACTGTTTTTGAAACTGCTACTCCAGTATCTGCGCCTGCATATAATCCTCCGAAAAGCTCAGCTTGAGATACAGCAGGTGCAGACACTTCTTGTATAGGTTGTACGTTGAGCTGCACGAAGAAAAATGTTTCATACTTGTTACAACGAAAAAAAAATATACAGCGAAATGAGGCGGAGAAACTAATATATAACATTACCATTGTATTTCTAACCAAGTATTAAGGTACAACAGTGTTAAGAAATTCATGAAAGAATGCACGGAATTATTTTTGCAAATGCCTTTTAGAGTACAGAGATTAATGAGAGAACGTTAAAAAAGTTGTACACGAAAGAAGAATTTACGCGATACTGCAATTTATATATTTTATTTCCTAGTATTTCATTTTTAAAGGTTTTTTATGTATACATGCAACAACATATGATGGTTACTTATGATTGTTTCACTGACGGGATCAATCATTGATATAATTAATTCCTCCGTTACGTGTATCCAAGTAAATCCATGATAATGTCATCATATGCAGATTGAGAAGGTTGCCATTACATATTGAAGTATTTTATTTATACCTACTTTTTTATTTATATATAACTTATATAACTAGTTATTATTTACCACCTACACATTGAAGCTAAATAAATGCTTGCAACGATAGGAATGAATGTTTTATTTCCTCATTTTGCATTTAACTGTCGTTCCATTATCAATATTTATTATTTTCGTTTAAACTTCTCTATTTCAATAGTATTTAAGTTTAACCCCCGCTGTTTTTCCGAAAAGATTTAATATCAGAGAATCAAAATAACAACGAAAACGAAGTGTCTTTATTCTGTAAAACATGTGTCAGGCTACATTAAAAAACTATCCTATTTTTTTATAAGCATCACTTCAGCATTTCTGCAGAAGGGTAAGTTCAGTACACTATCTTCTAACACATTGAAGTACGTGCATAATCGACTCGACGTAAGTAGCACCTATGCAATTGTAATAAACGCTTTGAAAGTTATGGACTTTACTATATACAACATTTAAATACGCTTTGCGACTCTTCTTAAGTGCGTTTAACAAATTCATTCGTTGCAGTGTCTTGTTTTGCCATACAAGGGTACCTTTTTACGATAACTCTCTGTATCTTATCAGGTAATTGTTCCAACGCGGAGATCCCTTTAACTTTTAGTTATATTGACACAAGTGGTTTTCCTGTTTTAGATACCTACGTCCTTTTGTTTCTCAATCGTGTTTGCTGATGCTTGCGATGATGCTGATGCGGCTGCTGTTGCTGATCCTCCGGTATTGGGAAACGCTGCAGGTACAACCTAAAATAAAATCATCTTGATGAGACCCATTACTAAAAAACGATGTTAATAAAATACAGAGGAATTATTAAAAGAAAAGTGATTAAAAGAATTCCCGCCGGAATTCACCGTGAGGCTCCAAATACGAATTCATTGAAATTAATAGAAATTTCTTCGTAGCTTCATACCTTTACTTTCTGAAATTGAGCTGACTTCTTTCGGTCTATCACTTGTACGTTCTTTGTAAAAGCTGCGGCATTTCCCGCAGTTGCACCTGCGTATAATCCTCCTGCTGCTCTTGCTTCAGGATTTGCAGATCCATCAAGGATTCCTCCAAGACCGGCTGCAGCTTCCGGTCTGCCATTACCTAACCCAGCTCTTGCATGTAAGCCTCCACCTAATACATACAAGAGGCTATCAGAAGTTCGTTAATAATAAAAATGTGCAGGAATAAGGATATCTAATCCACTTGCATTACAGTAGTTGATTAGGAATAAATTTGTCAAATTCTAGTAGCATAGAATAATTTTTAAATATCTCTTTGTAATCTTTGCTAAATATCTCAAGCGACAGATTTTTTAAGATTTCTTATAGATTTCATTCAATCAAAATATCTGAAATATTTGTTGAAAATCTCAATGACATGTTTAGTTTCAATGATTTATAAACATATATAGAAATTATATTT